ATGTAATTAAACCAACAAGATACACTAAATCATAGCTTGATTAGTCATGGTTTACTGGTTTACATGGTTTATAGTCTTTAGCTAGCCTATTGAACCCTACAGCATGGTTTATAAAACACTCTACAAATATTTAAACAGACCACATTATAGCTTAGCACAATCTGAGAATCCTAATAGTAAACAAAGCAAATTTATAAAGACTAAGATAAAAAATATCATAGCTTCAAATTTCTTAAAGGATAGAGATATTTTGGAAAGAAGAAAACTGAATTTTAGCACAAAAATATCATCTAAACTCACCAAAATACTCACTGGTATGTCCCAGGCCCAACCACCATGAAACACTTCTATCTTCCATGGTTCTCTAACTAGCAATTTATATCTCTCACCTCATTAAGCTGTAATAGGTTCCACCTGGGAAAACAATTAATGTGTTAGCTGCTTGTTCTCTTTTGCACTCCCACACTCCCTTCTAAAGACTATGCATTTTTCTGGTTTTGCAATGGTTTGTTTGAATGTTTTAAAATCATCAATGCTTTTTGTTCAGTAATAAAACCACACAATCAAAGAAATTAGGGTTATAATGTGGGGGCTTGTTTATTTCTAAAGAAACAAAAAACGTGAAATCTTAAAAGTAAAGAGTTTTATTATCATATATGCTTCTGGACTTGAGTCATCTGATGTATCAAGGGTTAATTCGGTTACAAATATGAATTGAAATTGGAGCAGGCAAAGAAAATGTAAACAGGTCAGTTTTAAACAAAAGGCAGAATAGCTAGATAGAAAGAAGCACATTATTAGCAGCCACAAAATGCTTGTTACTGATAAAAACAAAGGTTTTGGCATTGAATCAGCTGATAGAATAAAAATTATATTTATCTTGATTGAAGCTACAGAAATTTGAATGCTGCCTCAGGTTGCAATGTGAATAGATAACATTTCAAAAAAAAGGGCAATTCTGAAATAAATAAACAAGAAGTACTATTTAACTATGTTTCTCTCTTGAAGAAAACCTTTTTTTTGTAACTATAGAGAATATTAGACTTGCTTTTTTCTTTCCTTTCCTCCTCTTTATTAAAAAAAAGTATTTTCCTATGTCTAGTGAAATAACGAGAAGATTCAGCTGTACCTTTTTGGCTTTTGCAATATAATTCAATTAATAAAAATGTCAATTGTATTCTTTATTACTTTTTTATTATTCATTTTATTATAAAGAGTGTAACATTTTCAAGATACTATTACAAATACATATGAGAAATGGGTCCTTCCCAGAGACACAACATGAAAGTAATCTTTGACTTATAACCACAATGGGGAAGAGAATTTCTGTCACTAAGCAAGACAGTTATTAAATGAGTTGTGCCCAATTTTATGACTTTTTTTGCCAAGGTTAAGCATATCAGTGTAGTTGTTAAATGGATTACTACAGTCGTTAAGCAAATCCAGTTTCTCTCATTGAATTTGCTTGTCGGAAACCAGCCGGGAAGGTTGACCCTGGGACAATGCAACCGTAATAAATACATGCCGGTTGCCAAGCACCTGAATTTTGATCATGTAACTGTGGGGATGCTGTGATGGTTCTAAGTGTGAGGACTGGTTTGTAAGTCATTATTTTTCAATTCAGCATCAAACTGTCACTAAATGAATGGTTGTAAGTGAAGGACTATCTGTATCAGATGTTTGGCAGGGAGGTGTCTTCCTTTGATCCTAAATGCTTTGTCAGGAAGAACGGGAAGAAAATCCCATCATCCTTTCCTCTCCAGGAGTGCTTAAACCCGTGGTTCTCAACCTTCTTAATGCCGCGACCCCCAACCGGTCGTAAGTCGAGGACTATTCAACTGGTGCAGCACTGTTTGCAGAATGGGACTTTTGGTGGGCTCAGCAGGGCAGAGACAGCCTGGACAATTCCTATTGGCTTTTGAAAGCCAATAGAATTAGACTCTATTTAAGAGAGTCTATTCTATTGGCTTTCAAAAGCCAATAGGATAAAAGGGAGTAGCACAGCTAAGGAAAAGGGAAAAAAATGGCGGACTGCGTTGTTTGGCGATCCCCGTGAAATGGTCGTTCGACCCCAAATGGGGTCCCAACCTATAGGTTGAGAACCGCTGGCTTAAACCCTCCTGTAAGGGTAGCTGAGTGGAGATAAAGAGTGTGGCTGCTCCAGTGTCTCCCAGGGAGCCTTTACTGCTGAGGGTGGACTTGTCTTCTAAGTGTCAACCCAATATACAGTATCTTCTATGCTTCTTGCTGGTGGCAAAACTCACATTAAACACATTTCTAACGTTTATTGCTTATGTGCCACCAAGTCAAAGATGGACCTTTTCCACGATGGCCGGCCCCCAACGTGGTCTTTCAGGTCTTCCAATGGCCAGCTCGCCACCGCCAAACTGCTGCAGGACAACTCGTTGAGCGACAAGAGTTACACTAATATCAAAGAAATGGTGGAATAGAATAATTAAAGAAAGGATGCCAAAGGAGGGACAGAATGAAATGTGAATGACAGAAATTAAAATAGTTTTTTGTTTATTTTAAATAATTAAATTGAATTGTTAAATTGTCCCGCGACAAGTTGTCCCGCAGTGAGTTGACCATGGTGAGTTGGCTGTGGCGAATTGTCTCATTCTGACTCCTGAGCGCCTCCACCTAGGTGCAGATTGTCCTTTTGTCTATGAAGATTCTCAGTCATCCAGGCCATGGTTGTCCCAAAAGAGCTTTTTCAGGAGGCAACTGAATATAAATCCTTCGATTCCTCACCATCCAGTCAAAGATGAAGAAGCTTTTTGGATGAGAAGCGAAACATCTTCAAAGAAAAACAAGGAAGTCCAGTGGCCTCCTGAAAAAGCACCTGTGGGAGATCGTTCTTTCTTTCCACCTTTCCCAGCCTTATGGATTTTTCCAGGGCAGTGGTTCTCAACCTTTTTAATGCGACCCAACCGGTCGTAAGTCGAGGACTACTCAAATGGTGCAGCACCGTTTGCAGAATGGGACTTTTGGCAGGCTCAGCAGGGCAGAGACAGCCTGGACAATTCCTATTGGCTTTTGAAAGCCAATAGAATTAGACTCTATTCAAGAGAGTCTATTCTATTGGCTTTCAAAAGCCAATAGAATAAAAGGGAGTAGCACAGCTAAGGAAAAGGGGAAAAAAATGGCGGACTGCGTTGTTTGGCAATCTCCGTGAAATGGTCGTTCGACCCCAAATGGGGTCCCGACCCACAGGTTGAGAACCACTGTTTCAGGGAGTTAGGTCTTTGAATAATGCATCCAAAATATGATCATTTGAGCCTAGTCATTTGTGCCTCGAGTAAAACTGACCCTTTTTTATTTTCCTGGCTATCCATGCTTTCTTACTGATATGTTCAATAAATGATTTATTTGTGCTATAGTAAGGTAACACAACATATTTTAAACACTCTGCTTTTAATGATGAAAACATTCCTAGCTTTAGTTTTAGACCCTGTGACTTCTCACACACTTCACTCACTCTCCCTTTCTTTTAGCCTATTTAACTAATTTCTAAGTATGTTTCTCTTAGTTACAAGTAAATCTACTGACAATCATTTGGCCTGATCCCCAGACCCCAAAAATATATATAACAGTGACATTCACTGGATCTATTTTTGAGTTAACAAAAAGGATGGACAGCTGGTATTTAATTTCTTGTCTATTTAAAATATGGACCTTGTGTTCTTTTTTTCTTATATTGGCTTGTACTAAGCCATGACTTGTTTAGTGTTAAATAATTATCTGGCAATTATATATAATGGTTTATAAACCACCATGGTCTCAATTTTACGATTTGCTAAGCTAAAAGCAAAAGAATAATATGTTAAGGGTAGCATAATTTGTGAATCGGGACAGAAGTATACAAATAAGGCAAATAAGCAATGAGGCAAATGATGTCATAGGGCATTGTGATACTATTGTGGAAATGATGTACAATCCATGGGTATCTAAAAGGAGGTCAAAAAAGTCAAGATGGTGGCAGTAGCCATACAACTGGAGCCCTGCCTCTTTTTTTTTATATGCCTTGTGGCATAAGAAAAACATGGCAAGGCTTGATTGCACATTGCTACCATCTTCACAGACACACACATCCTGTGGACATCCACATGCCCATCATTTTCAATGTGAGAGGTCTCTATCCAAGAACTCAGTTTCTTCCACCAGTCACAGGAACAGCTACTTAGGTTTCGAAATAGCAATTTACACCAAGTCAGGTCTTGCTGGTAATAGAGGAATTCAGATGAGTTTTGTTACTTATTGAATTACTTATTAAACCAGTGAATTACTTATTAATTAAACCAGTGAAACCAGTTCTGAAGCATCTAACAGTAGTGAAAAAAAAAATGGGACATGGGATTTGTGGATTTGTCAGACACCACACTTTATCTTCCCAGCTTTTTAATGCTGAAACTTTTCCCTATGAGACTTCAGTTTTAGCTTGTATTTCCAGATACAGGCAGCAGGTATAAGCACACACTATCTATGGTATATAGGAAATGGGAATCTCTAGAGAGCAAGAGTCTTCAAACTTGGCCTTTTTATGATTTGTGGACTTCAACTCCCAGAATTCCTCAGCCAGCATTGCTGGCTGAGGAATTCTAGAAGTTGAAGTCCACAAGTCATAAAAGGTCCAAGTTTAAAGAACCCTGCTATAGAGGGTTGGACAGCAAATCCCAGAATTCCAAGCTGTGATGGCCAATGGGGATGCTACTTGTTTCTACTCCCAGCCCCTTGGTGAGATTCTATGTACTGATTTGCTGAAATGATTACACTGGGAGAAATATTAGTGGTACTTTAATTTTCTTACTTATTTTATGAGTCTGCCTTCCATGTTTTTTAACAAGAGTTGAATAAAATTCCTGTTTCAACTTCAGCTACTGAAAAGTAAGTGAGTAAATTGAGGACTGCTCTAACAATATTCTGGTAACTACAATAATTCTCTCTATAAATGTCCAATCTACCTCCAACCTTCCATAAGACAAAGACAAACACATAAGTAAAATAAAAGCAGCTTTTATTGCAGATATGAAGACCAGCTTCTAGAGCAGTACTTCTAAATCTGGGTAAATTATCTCAAATTGGATAAAAGCAGTTTTTTGGGGGGGGCAATGACACACGAATCCATTACCCATCACCACAGGACAGTTCAATTTAAATTGACTTAAAGATTGCCACATGTGCTAAAATACATTAGAAAATCTCCCAAAGTATTCCTTTTAACATGAAAAGTGGATGGAAATTACTAAAGGTAATTTGTTGAAATGACATAAAGGTCATTCAGTGATATTGTTTTTATGACACAGATAGACTCCTCAAGACCATTCATTCAGGGGCTGTTCCAAGTTTCAACGGTGCTAAAGGAAGGGATTTGCAACCACTTCTCAAAGTTCGATAAGACTTTCTGATCAATGTTTTGAGTAATGAAAGCTTCAATCTGCACAGGAAGCTTTCAGCTGTCTTGACCGTTATCCTTCTCGTTGGATGCAGCCACCAGAAAAGACCGTTTCAAGCCATGCTTTTGCGTGACCCCACATATCTCATGGATTCAGAAGCTTTTGCCTGGCTCAGTTCTCCCGAGACCTCTCAGTCCAAAGCGCATCAGCCACAAAAGCCACGGCTGCCACGAGGATAGTGAACCCGAGGCCGAGCCGTACAGAATTGGCTGCAGTGAAATCAGGGCTCGGCAGAAGTGACTCTTTAAAGGAAAAATATATATATACTGTAAAAAAAGAAAGCACTTCCACAATAAATCTTCATTATGCAGTCTGACTTTCTTAATGACATGTTTGCATTTGATGAGTTTTTAATGGCTGAGCTTTAATGGTTTAATTATAAGACTGTTATTTAAATTTTGTTCTGGCTGGCTTAAGCACAACTGATTAAATCTTCCCTAGAAGGAACAGTGGAATTGTAACTGATCCTTCAAACTTTTGTAGTTTAGTCATAACTGAAATTAAATCACTGCCATGATGTGCTTAACTATAACTGTTGAACAAACAGCTGGCTGCCTTGACATACTCATGAGGGATCCTTGACACTCTCTGAGCTTGGCTGTTTTCTTGCAGACATTTCATTATCCAAACTAGGTAGCATCATCAGTGCTAGTAAGAAATTGTTCTCAATTTATATTTGAGTGGTTTGCCCTGTCAGTATTGGTGAGAGTGACCTTGGTTGTGCTGCTTATTGTTAGGTTGTTTGGCAGTTCCTTGAATGGGGTATTGTTTACTTCTGGATTTTTGATCTGATGTTAATCTGGGTATAAATCTATGCTCATCTGAGTGTTGACTGTTGGTGGGGAAATGTTTTAGTATTTTTTGTTCCCTTGTTAGCATTTCTACAGTATGTAGATGTCATTTATGTTTATGTGTCTGTTGATGACGTACTCATTGCACGAAACCACATTGGTTTGATTCATAGAACTTACTAAGATAAAACCAAACAACCTATGTTACGATTTAGTATGATATGCAAATCCAGAGGATGCTTTCCACGTCAGTTTGTTTATTTAATTTATAGGCTGCCTGATTCCATCCTGACACTGGACAGCATACAACTCAAGACAGTTAAAAATAGAAGACTACAGAGATCCTACACAATAAATGTCTGGAAAAAGAACACACACACAGAGAGGCCATTAAAATGCACATCTCACTGTCTACTCTAGGCCAAGATCTGGGAAAAGTTGTTTGATTTCATTTAAACAGAGGCAAGATGGGAGTCATATAAATCTCTTGAGGGATATCCTATCACAGTGTCTAATACAGCGTTTCTCAACCATGGCAATTTTAAGGTAGTGGACTTCAACCCGCAACCCATTTAAAGTTACAAAAAGACTGAAAAAATGACCAGTTTTCACATGTATGCCTGTTGCAGCATCCCCATGGTCACATGATCAAAATTTAGACACTTGGCAACTGACATGTATTTATGACGGTTGCAGTGTCCCAGGCTCATATGATCACCCTTTGTAACTTTCTGATAAGCAAAGTCAGAGGAGAAGCCAGATTCACTTAACAACCATGTCACTAACTTAACAACTGCAATGATTCACTTAACAAACGTGGCAAGCAAGTTCATAAAACGGGGCAAAATTCACTTAATAATGGTCTTCCTTAGCAAAGGGAATTTTGGGCTCAATAATGGTTGTAACTTGAGGACTACCTGTAGATGGTCAGGAGCGGAGAATATAAACTTTGTTCAAAGCTGAAATTGTACCATAGTTATATTTAATATAAGTGGGCCCTTGGCCCTGCAGCCTCCACCCCCGCCCCCCATTTCCCATTTTCTCCACTGCCACCCAATGAGATCCCTACAGGATATCAAATGTCTTTCTGTGTGAACAGACCAGATCAAGAAATACAAACAGTTCACAATTTCATTGCTAATTTGTGATTATTCTAAAGCGGGTCACCAAAGCAGGTAACCCTGACCAATTTTACAACTTTTTTTTTGACAGAGGTTAGGAGATTGTGGCAGTTGTAAATTGAATGTGGCAGTTGTTAAGTGAACGCTGAGGTTGTTAAGCAAACCCATGGCTCACTAGGGGACATTCTTTTGCCAGAAATCGGGGAAAAAAATGCTAGTTTCAGCAAAAAATATAAATCATGATCATGTAACTAAAGGATGCTGCAAACAGCCATAAATGTGGGTCACCTGCCAAGCACACAAAATGCAGGCATATAACAGCAGTGGGGACCCAAATATCGGAACTTTGATTCCAGGTTGTAAGTAGCTTTTGGGGGCTCCATTATCATGTTGCATGGTTGCTAAGAGACTAGTCATAAGTCAAGGGCTATCTGTAGACTCTATAGAAAGATTAAAAACTACTTTTATTTAAATTGATTATAACAACATAGTCTTGTAAGTCTGATATGCTTCCCCTCCTAACTTTTACAGTCATGTGAATTAGGGGGATGATGTCTAAAACACTTTTATAATCCTCCCCCACCATTTGGATTTTCCTTATTAGTTGTTTTGGTAACAGATCTTCCCCCTTTCTTTCAAAGTCATCCTCTTTGTAATCTAGACCCTGTGCATCCAGAGAGGGGCTGGGATGCAAAGCTGGAGGATCAGCCTATTCCTTTCCTTAACTCTCCTTACATATGCAAATTCAAGAAAGCATCACTCATGGACACTGGGAAGAGTTGCAGAATAGACTCCAGCAAGGTGGGAAGCAAGGCCATGATGACAAGAGTTTCCTGCTGATTCAAGGGTGGTTGGGTACTACCTCAATTCAGGAATGGGGAAAGACCCCACGGCTGTTTCCCTCAAACAGGCACTGCTATACTTTCCTATGTAATCAAGAGAAGAGAATATTTGTAGCTATGATGTACGTTGAGCTTGGTTGTTTTCTTGCAGAAGTTTCATTACCCAACTAGATAACATCACCAGCGCCAGAAGGGAGTGGGATTTGCAGTAATGATGTTATCTAGTTGGGTAGTAAAAAATCTGCAAAAAAACAACCAAGCTCAGAGAACACCAAGGACCCACACTTCCTGTATAACCATGGAACTTTCTTCAAAGATTAGACCAGGGGTAGGCAACCTTGGTTCTTTTATGACTCGTGGACTTCAACTCCCAGAATTCTTGAGCCAGCCATGCTGGCTCAGGAATTCTGGGAGTTGAAGTCCACGAGTCATAAAACAGCTAAGGTTGCCTAAGCCTGGGTTAGACTGTGAGCTTCTCAAGATGAAAACTTTGCAAACAGTCATTTACCTGGATGGTACATCACCACCACCACCACTCCCTCTCAGTCTCTCCTGCCCTCATTCCCTCTGGGCTCACCTTGTGTCCGCCTTATGGTATCGTTGAGTTGGTTTTCCCCAAACTGGCAGCTCAGCTTGCCCTTGAGGTTGCTGAGGGCATCTTCTGTGAGGCCGAAGCTGGCGCTTGTCCCATTTTGCCATGCTCTGGTTTCAGCAAAGAACTCCCCATCAATATACAGATAGAACCAGCCCCCAGTTACGGAGGGCATTGAACAATTCACTCGATACCTCCCTGCAGAGTCAACCAACACCTCTTGATATCTGCTAACATCAGACACACCTGAAAAAAAAAATCAATAATTTTGTAATAAAACTAGGCAATAAAATAGTAAGCAAGAGAGTCTGCAGGGAAGAGGTCAAAATAATCAACATAAGGATGGGGTTTTGATTGCAAAGTTGTGGCTGCCATCTGAAATAGTATAGGGTTTCCTGCCTGAGCAGGGGGTTGGACTAGATGACCTCCAAGATCCCTTCCAACATTATTATTGTTGCTGTTGCTGTGGTTGTTGTTATTATTATTATTATTTTGTCCCCCTCAGCTGGTAAGGAAGAACTCAGGGGGTGTCTCAGCTTTCTTTTCATTACCCTTTTCTAGTCTCCAGACCATATTTCACAAACAAAAGCTAGACATTTTTATTGATTTATAGTCATTCCTGCAAAGATTACTGGAATTTCTGATAATGCAAGGTGTCCAGACAGGAATTGTTCCATGTATTTTTTTCACACAAAGGAACAAATGAAAGGACCAAGAAAGAAAGAAAACAAACAGCTCTCTGAAATAAATTTCGTGTATATTCATGTGTTGTGTGTGTATGTATAAGAGAGATAATAGTACAGGAATTAAATTATGACTAATCTAGTATTTTCCCTTCTTGTGCCACCTTTCCTTACTTCAAACAAAAGATCTAACAGGAAATGGCAATCGTATACAGTATTAAATAACTAAAAGAGTAAACCCACAAATTCCAGCTGGAAGATCAGGATAAAATCAGCCATTTTAATCATATCCGAATATGCCTTTAAATTCAGTTTTGACACAAGATATTCAGAAGTGATGTTTCCCCCCCACCTCGCCTTCTTCTTTCTGGAGCTGAAAGAGAAGAACTGATCCCAAAATACTCAGTTTTGTTTCTAAGGCAGGACTAGAACTCACAAGTTCCTGGTGATTGGTCCAAAGTCGCCTTTAGATTTCATGCCTAAGGTGAGACTAGAACTCACAGTCTCCTGGTAACTTGCCCAAAGACACTCAGCCAGGTTTCACACCTAAGTCAGGACTAGAATTCACAGTCTCTAGTTTCTGGCCTGGTGCTTTTAACCACTACACCAAACTCAGTCTCAGTCAATCCCAACATGGAGCCAACATTCCCCATTCATTGTACAATTCAGGAAAACATCCATGTGCTTTAATTTTGGCAAGATGCCACCTCCTCATCTTTCCTCACCCAGGATTTTCAGCACCACTGGGCTGCTGGCATTGGACCAGATGACAGGATCGGTGAGGCTGTGGTAGTAGCACGTGTACCGTCCTTCATCAGCCCCTGTGACATTCTCCAGGGAGAATTCAGCCATGTTGGAATCCCCTCGAGGAGTGACCTCATACCGGAAGTCCCTGGCCTGGTAGAAAACGAAGCTGACACCTGAAAAGGGAGCCCAACAACGGAGCGTCCAGTCCTGTCCCACTGAGATTTCTGTGCTGGGACTCGCAGCAATTGAGGGCTTCGGGTAATGCACTAGAGGAGACAAAAGTTTTACATTCAGCTTCAGGACTAACCAAGTTAATTAGAGTGATGATGGTTATTGTAATGTATTTGCTCTTCCCTCTCTATTTATTGCAGGGTTTACCAACTTTGGCAACTTTAACACTTGTGGACTTCAACTTCCAGAATTCCAATTCTGGGAGTTGAAGTCTACAAGTCTTAAAATTGCCATGGTTGGACACTCCTGCTCTAGAGCAGAGGTTCCCAACCTTTTGAGCACCAGGGACCGGTTCCATGGAGAGAAGTATTTCCATGGACCGGAGAGAGTGTGGTTTTGTGTGCTGCCTGCATCTCATGGATGAGGCTTTGCTTGTTTGTGTGGACCGGTTGCTGGCATGCCACGGTCCGGTACTGGTCCACGGACTGGGGGTTGGGGACCCCTGCTTTAGAGCAATATTTTTGAACCTCAGCAATTTTAAGATCTATAGATTTCAACTCCTAAAACTGCTAAGGTTGGGAAACATTGTTCCAGAGCAGCAAAGGAAACAAAACATAATAAAAATTAATCTCTGCCTGGAATATGCCAGCACCCCAGGCAGGGAGGAATGAAAAACAATATATTTCCTTTCAGAACAGCAGCTAGAACTGTTTCATTGGAAGCAAGCTTTTCTAATTTAAATAAAAGGTGGGTTTTTCTGGGTTTTTTTTTTTTTAAAAAACGTAGATAAAAACCAAGTTTTTATATCTATAGTTAGAAGTCAGCATTCCTAGCCAAGCTATCTTTTAGCTGGACTGGCTGAGGATGATGGGAATTGAAGGATTTTTACAAAGTGAATGTCATTCTTCCTTCCATAGCTCTGGGTGCTCTTCTATCCTGCCTCAGTTTGGAGCAGGGTTGACATTTGACCGGTGTGTACATATTTCAAACAACACATGCTTAGTTAGGATTGAAATGTAGTGTTGCTTTTCAAAATAAAAAAAGGATGCAATTCTTCTTTTTTCTTTTTTTTTAGCTTGGAGCTAAATTACCTTAAATTGAAGAGAATAGCACATAAAATGAGGCTCATAAAAATCAATTTTCAGCTTTCTGCACTGGAGAACTATAAGATATACAGGTACCGGTAGTTCTTGACCTATAGCCATTTGTGTAGTTAAAAGTTTCAATGGCACTGAAAAAAGTGACATGACTATTTTTCACATTTGCGACCACTGCAGCATCCCCATGGTCACATGGATAGATGGAAGGAGGGATAATAGGATGGATGGATGGATGATAGAATGAACAGACAGAAAAATGGATGGATAATAGAATAGAATGGATGGATAGAAGGAGGGATGGATAATAGAATGGATAGATGGAGGGAGGGTTGAAGGGATGGATGGATAACAGGATGAAGCAAGAAGGGGATGAATGGACAGAGGGATGGATGAAGGATGGTTATTGTTGTTCAATCACTAAGTCATGTCAGACTCTTCATGACCCCATGGAGCACCGCATGACAGGGTCTCCCCCTCCACTCTCTCCCAGATTTTGCCCAATTTCATGTTCATTGTATCAATCACACTATCCAACCACCTCATCCTCTACCATTTCCTTCTTCTTTTGCCTTCCTTCTTTCCCAACCTCAGGATCTTTTCCAGTGAGTCCTCTCTTCTCATTAAGTAGCCAAACAGAAAGGTTGGATGGATGGATGGATGGATGGATGGAGAGAGAGAGAGAGAGAGAGAGAGAGAGAGAGAGAGAGAGAGAGAGAGATTCAGCTTAATACTCACCTTCTGTGAAGTTTGCTGGCTGGCTAAGTGGAGAGCGGATTGCCTTCCCTGCCTCCCAGATTTCATAGCTACAGTGGAATTGCTCATCTGAGCCCACCTCATGGACCTCAAAGATGGCACTGGACTCTGTTGGCAAAGCTTTCTTTTGAGCTACTGGCTTCTGGCTGTCTCCCATGTATAAGGAGAACCAGCTGCCTGCATATTCCTCTTGGGCAGAGCACTGAAGCTGGTGCTTTCCCATCGCATCTTGAGCTTGGTGCCATACAATGGATGGTTTCGGCAGAGCTAGAAAAAGAGACAGAAGGGGGGCGGTTTGGATCACCAAACATGCCAAGCCAAATGTGATTTGTTTGATTTTGGGTTAATGCATACTGTAAATCATTTGAATTGAAGGTTACTCAGTCAACCATGATTAGGTAAACCAAGTTATAAGATGATGCATAATGCCAGCCAAAGAGAGTCTACATTGGTACAAAAAATAAACCTATAGGTAAGAGGGAATGAAGATGAATGCATCACTATTTTATTTGGTGTCCTGTCTTCTCCAAACCTGGGTTGATAACTGTTGGGGATCACAAGAACAAAATTTGAATCCAAAACTCAACAGTTTCTTCAAAAGCCAATGATTACAGCTATCAGTCTGGGCTACAAAAATGGAGACAACCATCAGATGGCAGCAGAAGATTAATTGAACATCTTTTTGTTGCCTTCTAGTGGTCATTTAGATTTTTGCATACCTGAACTCAGATATGTTGCATTGTAACTTCTGGAACTTGAAATATTTCAGTCCCAGAAAGCGTTGTATTGGAGAAGACTGACAGACATACAAAACTCTGGTTTGGTGTCATACTAAGCCATTATTTATTTTATAGTCCAGAATCTGCTGAAATTGACTGGATTCATGCATCACTTCAATCCCTTAGAAAAGGGCCAGATTCACATGCAATCCTGCCTCAAATGCAATACCAAGTCCCATCCTTCCCCACAAGTTATGCCCAGTAGAAAACCCCAAGATCCACTTGGATATAGTGGTGAAGGCACCAGGGTAGAAACCAGGAGTCTGTGAGTTCTAGTTCCATCTAATACACAAAGCCAGCTAGGTGATCTTTGGCCAGTCACTCACTCTGAGCTCTAGGAAGGAGGCAATGGCAAACTACTTCCAAAATCTTTCTAAGAAAATTGCAGGGACTTGTCCAGGCAGTCCCAGGAGTTAAAACTGAAGGTTTTTGAAGGCAAACAAGCAAGCAAGTCTTTCTTTACTTTTCAGCAGTTAAAAAGCTGTAATATAAATTAATGAATAATTATTCATTTTCTCCCTTTTTGTATCACCCCTAATCAGGTTACTCTGGCCAGGAGCCCCTTCGTCCCTCAATGATAGGTCTGGCTCTATCTCTAGAAGAGCCATTGCCAGGATGAAAAGTTATAGAATCTCAGGAATCCTAACCACCAATACTCACAGATTGTAAGGAGCAGGAAAGGGAGCGTAACAGGCATCTTTAGAGCAGATGCAGGCTGTAAGTGAGGAGAAAAAGGGCTCAAGGCTCTGATGAATGTGATTCTTCCCTCCCAGGAAACAGTGATAGATCATCAGTCATGATGGTTAGGAAGAGAAGTATAAGAGGAAAAAAAATATTTTTTCATTAATGGAAGAATAAACGAATTCTGATTTGAGCGGCTCAATTACTTTGAAATGAGCTTCAGAAGCTTTCTTTTAAGGGGAGCAGGAAAATTTGACAAAAATGGTATCTCGATAATGGCTACGGTACATTTATACTGTATACTGACTGATGGTTTATTTTACTTTGGGTGACCAAATCATCCTTACTGGATTTGTTTATACACAGTGGTGGGATTCAACTGGTTTGCATCACTTTGGCAGAACCAGTAGCTAATTTTTTGTTGCCCAGGCCCAGAATGGACTTCCGGAAACAGCATCAACCCAGAGAACCAGTTGTTCACATAGTTGAATCCCACCACTGTTCATACATTGTTAAGCTATTACTGGGTTTATAAACCATGGTGCCTTATATTCAGACATGCCAAAAATAAGTATAGTAAATCACGTTTGGACTTATGTTTTGTGTACAACACAATTGTTACGCTAAGTAGTTTAGCACAACGCTTGCAAACCATGTCTGCTAGATTCACAGAACACCCTTAATCACAAACTGAGAGCCAGTTTGGTCTAATGCAGGGGTAGGCAACCGCGGCTCTTTTATGACTAGTGGACTTCAACTCCCAGAATTCCTGAACCAGCATGGTTCAGCTTGGAAACCTTTCCCTTTCCTCTCAGCATGGCTGGCTCAGGAATTCTGGGAGTTGAAGTCCATAAGTCATAAAAGAGCCAAGATTGCCTACCCCTGGTCTAATGTTAAGGCACCAGGCTAGAAAATGGGAGACTGTGAATTCAAATCCTGCCATAGCCATGAAAGCCAGCTGGGTGACTTTAGGCTAGCCAATATCTCTCTCAGCCCAATCCACCTCCCAGGGTTGTTGTTGTGGGGGAAATAGGAGGAGGAAGAAATATTAGATATGTTTGCTACCTTGAGTTATTTGGAAAAAAATAAAGGCAGAATACAAATAAAAAAATAAAATAAATGAGCAAATCATATTTTGAATTAGTATATTGTGTAAGCATAGCCACCATGTTGTGTGAAGTCATCTATTGTGGTATGCAAACCATAGTTTATAATTCAGCTATTTACACTGCAAGTTGCTAGTGTGCCTAGCCCAATAATAATAATAATGAAAAATTATCAAATGATTCAAAATACAGATTGTGCAAAATGGCAGAAAAAACAGTAACTTATTCAAAAAGATCACACAACAGATTATAAAGAATGATATAGCACAGCTGCCAAAATGATTCACTGGAACATCTGTAAAAATTATCCTGTGCCAGTAATGAAAAATTGGTGTGAACACAGAGTTGAAAAATAGAAAATGAGCAGGTTAAAATATTGTGGAATTTCTGAGTACAAACCACTAAATTCTTGGCACATAACACACCAGATTTAACTGGTTTGAAAGAAGAAAGTGTGGATAATTATTGTGGCAATACCAGGAGATAGTAGAATAGAAGACAAAGAATTGGAGACGATCACGAAATATCAAGATCTGAAAATCAAAGTTCAAAGGTTATGGTCTAAATTGGCTGTGGTGGTCCCAGTGGTTACTGGCATACTGGACCTCCAAGGTCTCTTCCAGATTCCATTCCATCCCATCTCATCCCATCCCATCCCATCCCATCCCAAATATTGGGTGGCACTTAGAAAATCTGCACATTGAAAACATTTCTGTCAATTGTAAAAGGCCACACTTCATGAATCCATACAAGTGCTACGCTGATATCTTATGACATCCTAGGTTCTTGAGAAGAATTCAACGTATATGAGGGGCAACACCAGCAAAAGAACTGGTAGCTATGACCTCCTATTATTGTGAACAGATAATTTATTAAACTTGTATGCCATCTGACTCTCAATAGCCTAAATGCCAGTTAATCAAACTATGATTTAGAGCCAGCAGTAGGAATTCAGTTAATCTAGAGAATTATCCAAACTTTAGTCACATGCTTAGAAAGCATTGTCTGGCACTCCAGCTTTGGTGTCTTTTCTCTTTTCAAGAAATAAGAGGTGGTTACGGAAGTGAGGTTCACTGAAGAGATACCTCTTCTTAGAACAGACATGTGCAGCAAAAAACTAGATAGCCACCAGATGGCTCCACCAAAATAAAGAAACCTTTCACTCTTTGCTGCCATCTATTGATTATCTGGATTTTTAAAGGGGAGAACTGATATGTTTTTATTTGACTAAACAGCATTTGATGTTGAGCCTGCCTGCTCTGCCCTGTCCTGCCCTGCCCGCCCTGCCCTGCTTTGCCTGCCCTGCCCCGCCTATCTTCCCTGAATTTCTACTTCTCAGTATGGAAGGAAATTATAAGGGGAGGTCACTGTCAACACACTCTACAGCAGTGGTTCTCAACCTTTTTAATGCCACAGCCCCCAACCGGTCGTAAGTCGAGGACTACTCAACCGGTCTTAAGTCAAGGACTACTCAACTGGTGCGGCACCATTTGCAGAATGGGACTTTTGGTGGGCTCAGCAGGGCAGAGACAGCCTGGACAATTCCTATTGGCTTTTGAAAGCCAACAGAATTAGACTCTATTCAAGAGAGTCTATTCTATTGGCTTTCAAAAGCCAATAGAATAAAAGGGAGTAGCACAGCTAAGGAAAAGGGGGGGAAAGTGGCAGACTGCGTTGTTTGGCGACTCCCGTGAAATGGTCGTTCGACCCCAAATGGGGTCCCGACCCACAGGTAGAGAACCACTGCTCTACAGCTCCACAAAACTCAACATTTTTAGCCTGTAGCCTGCATACTTCAAAGGGGAACTATTTTTTTTTCCTTCTCAAAAACAGGAGTCTTGTGGTCAAGATCAAGCAATGCTGAAAATGTCCTACACTCAGGATTGGGAAAGACCCTGATGATTCAGTAGGAAAAAAGGATGGTTAAATTAGTCATTTTTCTGCGGAGTTGTCTGGGATCTAACAGTGTAAATAATTAATTTTGCATTCATATTTATACATATTGTGTTAGGATTTGAAAATGATTGTATAAATTTTGCATTTTTATCTGCAAATCATTGTGATCAATTATGTTTACTATCTATGGGTATTAGCATTATTAAAGACATATTTTCCCCTTACATACTGTACATATGTATAATTATTACAAGTTTAGTTTGGGCTTAGCTGAGTCCAACAAATTATAGTTTATGCAATAATAATTAAAATGCATCATGGCTTAGCATATAAGAACGTGATTTTGATGTAATTGTATGTAAGTTTTGGACAGAAACTTTCCTTACTGTAGGTTGAACTACCTTGAAGATTTGACATGCCAAAATCCAAAGGGAGGGGGAATTTGAATCCAAGCTTGCAGAACTTTATAAAATAAAAGAGACTGAGTAGTTGTCCGAAAAGAAAATATTTGCATTCTCTGCACCATTCCATTCCCAGTTAATTCTACCCGTTTGCAAACCACGTTCACACGGATATTGTTTCTCAATCGAGAAACGGATAGCAACGAGCACTTTAAGCACGTCCCGCATGGTGTAAATGTGGATATTTTACTTTGCAACCCAGGCAACAAGAAACGAGACGAAACTCTTAAAAGTCACACATACCCCGAAACCCATATTTGTCTCTATATTCGGATTGCAAATGATGTCAGAGCAAGCGATTTTCTAGCAATTGTCTTGGGATGGACGTAAGATATTGGAAAAAATAATTATTTATACACATAATTATAAAAAATTCTTTATCCTCTCCGGGGAAAAACGCGGTGTATAATACCTGACACACGAAAACGGACACACATCGGTGAAATATGAAAACAGAGGCGGGCACAGCTTTCGTACAGTGCAATAGAGTCTTCGCCAACCAATCCGAGAGAGGGAGGAAGAACGCGACAAAACTACACTTCCCAGAAGGCCGGCGGGCTCCGTTCCCCTTGATTACAAGATGTCTACCTTCAGCAGTAAGTTCGAGAAGACTTTGCCGCGGGTGGGAGGACCTTGGGAGATGGATGGGTGTATATGACGGGCTTTTGTTGTCGATGGTTTCTAGGGGTGCAATCGTGGGCGAGGCTGGAAAGACAGGGGAAGAGGAGGAGGAGGGTGGAAGGACGATGAAGATTCCGTAGGTACTGTAGAGCAGGGGTCTGCAACCTTGACAACTTTAAGACTTGTGGACTTCAGAATTCTGGGAGCTGAAGTCCACAGGTCTTAAAATTGTCAAGGTTGCAGACCCCTGCTGTAGAGGGTGTTCAAATGTCACGTATCTGTGAACGATGATGGCAAGGGGGGGGGGTTCATTCATTACATTTAAATCCTGCCTTTTTTCCTGCAAAGCGTAGTATAGGTAGTCCTTGATTTCTAACAGTTCATTTAGTGACCATTCAAAGTTACAATGGCACTAAAACAAAGTGACTTACGACCATTTCTCACACTTATGACCGCTGCAGCATTTCCCTAGTCATGTGATTAAAATTCAGATGCTTGGTGATTGACTCATATTTTGACAGTTGTGATGGCCCAGGATCATGTGATCCCCTTTTGTGACCTTCCCACAAGCAAAGTCCATGGGGAAGCCAGATTCACTAACAACTGTAGCAAGAAGGGGTGTAAAATAGGAGCAAAATTCACTTAACTGTCTCACTTAGCAACAGAAATTTCAGTCTCAGTTGAGGTTGTAAGTTGAGGATTACCTGTATTCAGTCCATCGCCTTTCTTTTTAGGACTCCTCTACAGGGTATGCTAGGATTGTGGTTTGTCAGTAAGTGAGGCCTATCTCTACCAGTTCCTTTGGACTTCCAAGGTTGACAGAGGCCTAAAATGCAACACTGAGGGTACCTGCTGCCAAAGGCAAGCCTGGAAGAAATTATAAGTCAAGCAATTGCTGGGTAGATCTTGTCACTGTTTCCCCCCATAAATCCATTTCAAGCTTTCTTCTGAGGGGCAGAAAAGTCATTTGATGAAGCTTGCAAATGATTGGGAATTAGCCAGTTCGGTCTAGTGGTTAAGGTATCAGGCTAGAAAGCAAGAGGCCATGAGTTCAAGTTCCACCTTAGCCATCTAACTGGGTGACCTTGGGCCAGTCATTCTCTCTCAGCCCAACTCACTTCACAGGACTGTTATTGTGGGGGAAATAGGAGGAGGAAAGTGTGTTAGATATGTTCTCCACTTGGATTATTTGTGAAAATAATAAAGATGGGATATAAAGGAATAAATAATTCCACCCCAATTTAAGAATATAGGCAAGCTAGGTGCCGATGTGAAAGGTGGATCTGGGCTTGGATCCACATGTGCTGCAATTTCAACACCTACCCACCCCTGACAATCCACTAACTCTCTTTTCCTCTCTTTCCTATTCCTGATAAATCTCATGCCACAATCTGCTGTTGCTCCAAAATCCTTCCCAGACTTTGCAGCCATAGATACTTTAATTTAAAAATACTCCTCTATGAAAGCTATTTCTAAAATTATGCAAGATACATTTACATAGTCCTCAACTTACAACAGTTTGTTTAGTGGCCATTCAGAATTACAGTGGCACTGAAAAATGTTAGTTATGACCATTTCCCACACTTATGATCATTGTAGCATCCCCATGGCCACATAATCACAATTCAAATGCTTGCCTCGTATTTCTGATGATTGCAGTGTCCCAGGATCATGTGATCATCTTTTGTGATCTTCTGACAAAGTAAATGGGGAAGCCAGATTCACTCAACAACCATGTTACTAACTTAACAACTGCAGTGATTCACTTAACAAGTGTGGCAATAAAGGTTGTAAAATGGGGCAAAACTCAACAACTGCCTCACTTAGCAACAGAAATTTTGGGGTCAATTATGCTTGTAAGTCAAAAACTACCTGTACTTTCATATATTTAAAATACTTAGATGTCAGTTTCCATTAACAATGTTCACAGTGTCAGAACAGATCCAAACCAAAAGCAAGCTGCCTATTAAAAAAAAACCAGGGAAAAAAGCAAAATCTAACAAAAACCTGTGTAATAAAACAAAGTTTTTCAAATAGTTGTGTAACAACAGGCTGGCTGTTTTAAAAAGATGGAGAAAATCATGTCCATCTGATTTCAGAAGGCTGCAAAGTTTCAGTTTTAGGCAGAACTGTAGCTATGAGGAAACAAATTTATTCAAATTGATAAACATTGTAGAAGAACGAAGTATTCAAGTTAGCAAAAAAAAAAAAAAAAAAAAACCAACAACAACCCAGGAAGAGTCTGGTAGCAATCTTTTTGATTAACACGTTCTATTAAAAGACATCACATTATACTTTTTTAATGAAATGTTAATTGGAAAAGGTGAAAAAAGTTTTGAAGTGACTTAATAGCTGTTATCTTAATTATCAATTGAAAGTTAGGAAGGCACTTTGGATTCCTAGCCCAGATCAGCCTGAGTAAACAATTCCAGATGCTACTCTGGAAAACAAATCTGTACATCAAAAAATGCCTCTTCCTCTTCCCGCAGGAATGGTAACATTTATGAAAACTGCATGGGGCAAGGAACCAGTGATTGTAAGCTCCATTGTCATTGCAGTTGTGGGTGAGTTACACTGATATTCCTTGAAATCCAAATATGTTTTATTTTTAAACCCAAAGGTGCTTTTCCAAAAGGCTTCTTGGATGAGAAGTGAAACATTTTCAAGGAAAAAAACAAATTCCAGTTGCTCTTTGGAAAAGCACCTTTGGGACAACCATGACCTGGATGATTGAGAATCTCCATAGACATTTTATTCTTTAACTTTTACTATCTTTGAGATACTAGGAGGGAGGGTTGTGGCAGCCCTAACATTGGGGCATTGAGCCGAGCGAGGATTAGCTTTAAAAAAGAATGTTGCATTGAAGATTACATTCCAAGTATTTCTGACCTTGGTCCCTTTCCAAATCCTTGGCAAATTCTAGCACAGGATTGACTTTGATATGGGGAACAGACTGGGACTCAGTTACAGGCACTTCTTAGTGTGAAGAAAATCCCAAGTTCAATTCCAGACACTTTCAGTTTGGAAAATTCTTGGAAAACCACTGTGAGTCATTCTAGAGAATGTTGGCAAATATCTGAATCGTGGGACTATAAGTCTGCCCCACCATTTCAAGGAATGATGCTCAGGGACTTAGTTTTGGGTCAATTCTGTGACCAGTGGTCAAATTTAGCTTGCTGGAGGGGTCTGTAGTTCCCATTGTAAATCATTCTGAGTAAATTTATTCATTCATTTATGATAGCTTTGTATATTGCTGGATAGCCAGCATGTGTCATATATATTAAATGTATTTCTGGCATACATCTTTGTTTTCATTTTTTCAGCTGTAACATTGCCATGGGTGAGCCCCTATGCCCATTATTCCACATTAATGAATGAGAACATGCCATATAACTACCCAGGTACATCTACATTTTTAAAAGCAGTTTTGGAGTTTTAGGGATAGCAAAGAAGCAGCACGTTATTTTCATCAATTTTTAATATGTAACATGTTGCGCAGATGCATGTGACTGAACCATTTTTGGGGAGAAAGTTACAGACAGTCCCTCGATGTAAAGTGTCCAAGTTGCAGACAACTCATAATTAAAAACAAGCTGCCTGCTACTAAAAATGGCAAATGACCTTCTCCTTCCTTGAGCTGATAAATCACTGAAGCCACACAAAGCTTTCATAGGTATCACTTAAATATGAGCCAGCAGTGTGTTGCAGCTGTCAAAAAAGCCAACAGTCTTAGGCTGCAGTAACAGAGGGATAGAATCAAGATCACGTGAAGTGCTAATACCATTTTATAATGCTTTGGTAAGACCACACTTGGAATATTGCATCCAGCTTTGGTCGCCACAATGTAAAAAAGATGCTGAGACTCTAGAAATAGTCCAGAGAAGAGCAGCACAGATGGTTAGGGACTGGAGGCTAAAACTATGAAGAACAGTTGCTGGAATTGGGTATGGCTACTTTAATGAAAAGGACCTAAAGATGACATGATAGTAGCATTCCAATATCTAAGGCAGGGGTGTCAAACTGTCGGCCCGCAGGCCAGTTGCATCATGCAGAGGCCACGCCAACCCCAGCTCTGGCAGTGCGAAAAAAGTCACGATACGTCACGACACATCATGTGACGCGGTGAGTTTTACACAAAGAAGAGGCAGTCAAGCTATTCTCCAAAGCACTTGAAGGCAGGACAAGAAACAATGGATGGAAACTAACCAAGGAGAGAAGCAACCTAGAACTAAGGAGAAATTTCCTGACAGTTAGAACAATTAATCAGTGGAATGACTTGCCTCTGGAAGTTGTGAATGCTCCAACACTGGAAGTTTTTAAGAAGAGACTGGACAGCCATTTGTCCGAAATGGTTTAAGCCAGTTTCCTGCCTGAGCAAGTGGTTGGACTAGAAAACCTCCAAGGTCCCTTCCAACTCTGTTATTCTTTTTTCATGAATTCTTTTTTCATGAATATACAGCCTGTGTTCAGGGTTCATGAAAATACTGCATGGCCTCAGCGTTTCATCGTCTCAAGGAAGGAGAACATTTTTAGTAATAGATAGCCTGTCTATAAGCATAAGTTCCGGCTTATGTATTTGAGTTAAAGATAGACTTAGGAATGGATCCCATGATTAACCCAGGGAATGCCTGTATGTGAAGGGAGACATAAGGATGGTATGTTGTAGAGCAATTTAAACTATTTTTCTTTCTGCTTTAATAATTATTGGGTTGGGCAGGCAGAGAATTGGCATCAGAAAAAAAAAATTAAAAATGGAGGGAAAACTATTTTCAGGTTTCTCTGTGCTGGCAGTGGATAGTTTTCTGATAACATTTGGGCATCTCAATCTTTATGATGTATAAGCCACAAGATATAGCTTAGTGTATTGATTTAGTTGTAGGTAAGTCAGTGAATTAAATCTAATGCAATGATGCTGAATTCAGATTTTTACTTAATCAGAGATTAAATGAACTACAATTATCTGGATCAACATATATTTTGCCTTAGCATGTTAGATGTGAAATCAGGCCTGAATAGATTAATATAGTTAATTTACCCACAGGTAGCAGAGCACAAAGGCAAGATTTGTTCCCCATGCTAGGCCAAAATCAATATAGTTTAGTATGAGAATCCAGGCATTGAATCAAGTGCTCCGTGTCCTGCCTTGTAGTATATAGTTCTGTAAGTGTTGCTGCTGGACATTTACAGTACCTATGCTCATTTGGTTGATGTTCATGTTTTTCCTTTCCTCATAGTCCCAGTTCGAGATGATGGTAATATGCCAGATATTCCCGCTCATCCCTGTGACAAGGAAGGTGATCGGCTTGAGTGGCTGAAGAAATGAGAATCAGCAGAGTGAAAGTTACCACTGAAGAGGCAGATCTCCCCACAAGTTTCCCCTGCCTTGGTTGTATATGTGTGTTTTCCCCAGGGGCAATAAATTTCCTGTTGTATCTGAAAGCCGGCTTCTCTGTCATTGTGGTTGGAAATTTAGATCAGGGGAGAAAAAAACCTGGAGTTTTTGGAATACTTATTCTCATAAAATCAGATGGTTAAAGTTCTATTTAGGAGATTTAATGAAGACATGGGGTTTTTTTTAACTAATGGAACTGAGATTTTTTTTTTAAAGAGTCTAATACCACTGCATATCCCAGTGATGGCGAACCTTTTAGAGACCGAGTGCCCAAACTGCAACCCAAAACTCACTTATTTATCGCCGGGTGCCAGGTGGGTCTGGCCCACTGGATGTGCGTGGCTGTGATCATGGCAAACTGGGTATGGCCAAGGTGGGTGTGGTCATCTTGATGTTGCTTGTGGGGAGGGATGCCTGTGGGGGCCGGACAGGGTGGGGGAGATCCAGGGGGTCTCTGGCAGGTGGGCAGTGGGCAGGAGGCTCATTCTGAAGGGTGAGGCAAGGCAGGACGGGGGTGCCATTGTCGCAGGGCAAGGCGAGGCAGGGACCGGGGCGGCTGCAGCCTGATACCATCGGCCCCCACACACAGAGGCCAGTGAGCACATGGGGGCCGCCAGTGTCCGTCAGCAGCCAGTCTGCCGGCCTGTCAGTCAGCACACTCTGGGACTCCGCAGCCCACCCCCAGCAGTTCAGAGAAGCCACCTCTGAGCTGGACGGCCGGCCGATGGCTGAGGAGGTGATGCAGTGGGTCATGCCCAGGAAAAGGAGAGCATGCGAGGCCAGGAGGGATAGAATGGGGGGGAGGGATGCATCCGGCCACGTAGAACCTCAGCGAGTTAGCAGGCAACTGGTTGAAGGACAGTTGCCATCTCCAGGGCATGGTCCGCGTGTCCACAGAGAGGCTCTGAGTGCCGCCTCTGGCATGCGTGCCATAGGTTCGCCACCACTGGCATATACTGTCACAAACGGCTGTTTTAAGAGAAACAGTGACAACCTGCTACACCAGTTGGGGAAGAAAGAGGTCAATGATTTAATGTGGTGTAGCGGCCCAGTTAATTGTGGCTTATATGCCTTATTCACTTTCCTTGGTAGAGCCAAGAGGTGCTAGTAAAAACTGCAGGCACAATTTGTGCAATGTATTAAGCCAAGCAGACTGGTTCATAAGTGTGTGCTTGTCTCCATCTTACAGAGTGTGCTGAGCTTTTAAGGCTTGTCTGAATATGTTTATCAATCCAGAATGACTGCCAGTTTTGGTTACAGAAACTGGAGTTTTCCCTTTAAACACAGTCCATGTCATACTGCATTGCTATGTGCACAGTATTTGCCCTCTTAAATAATTAGAACAATGTTAGGAAAGAACTGCTTTTAAAAATAAAGTTAGCTACCTTAATTCTGAATTCTGCAAGCTAAGGACTTCAGGTTTTCATGACCCCATCACCTTTACGTAGCCCCCCCCCCCGGTATGTACATATGCACATACACACCTTTGCATCAGTTTGGACTCCTGGACAAGACTTGCCTGGACAAGACTCTGAAGTTTTCTTGGAAATATTTTTGAGCAGAGGTTTGCCGTGGCCTCCTGCCTAGGGCTGAGAGTGAGTGACCGACTGATGTCATCCAGCTGGCTTTGTGCCTAAGACAGGATTAGAACTCATGGTCTCCCGATTCTAGCCTGTTGCCTTAATCATTGCATTATACTGGCTCTTTTATACCTTAGATCTTGGTTAAAGGAGGCACACCGTAAGATGCACTAATAATGAGAGTCTGCACGCTGTCAAGTTTAATTGGTTTAATGCATCATTCAAATCTTGCACAAAGTAGAAGCCATAAGCTTGAAGGTTGCTAAGTTGTATTTCTGTAACTCTTCAAAATCCAAAAATGCAAGCAGACTGCAGCTGTGGTTTGTTCAAATATTATCATTCCTAACTTGAGGGTATATTGGGAGCGGGGAATTCCCGATCCATATGGCTAGCGGGAAAGTCTTGGTATCTTTTGGATGTTACCTTGAGGAGGAAATGACAGGAAAAGAGTGCTAGTTCTCGCTCTCTTCTGGACTGGCAAAGATATGCTAAATTCTTAAACTGACACATAGAGCAATTTGCATAAATACACAGGTCAATAGCACAAAAATGACTTCCTTTAATACAGACTTCAATTGGCCTTTTAATCATGTTGGATCTCATGATGCCATAGATGGAGACCGTTAAAAATCTTGAAGGAAGATTAAAAGAACTCAGCCTTCCCTCAACACATGGGTTTCCAACCAACATCCACAGAAAGTGCCTCTGCAGAACGAAACAGTGACTGTTTCTGTGCACTTTGGAATGCACAAGAACCACTTTTCCCCCCTTCCCTCATCTACCAGAATTACAAATCCAGAGTCCAGAAGGGCAAGTGTAAGAATGCTGAACACTGACCTCTCCAAAGAGTTCTTCCTCAATCTTGAAAGTGCAGAAAGTTTCTGCTTAAATTCTTGCTTCCCCATTCAAAGTTTATGGATACAAGTTAAGTCCGTTGTGGATTCAGTTCAATGACCTAAGCTAATCCACTGAATATTCTTACACGTTGACTCCAAGCTTTTGTCCCTTGCTTAAACTCCATCATCACTTCTGCTACCATTTCCCCCACTCCAGCAGTTCAGATCACCTTTCACTGGGTTAGAGTTAAGGAGTCAGATGTGATTGATGTCCTGCTGTTCCTTAAATCCTGGTTGGTATTCAAGGAAAAAAGATGCCTGCAAGGCACCCTGATGGCCAGCCTATGTATACAGGGGCCAGCCTCAGTCAAAATCAGAACAGACACCAGGGCTAGGAAACTTTGAGTAATGGAGCAACTTGTCCTGGGGACTGGACTGCTGCCAGGCAGAGCTGAGAACATCATCCTGTTCACACTGGAAATCCTCTTCAGTTTTTATCTGCAGCCACAAAAATCAAAATGTATTATTAGTTGTGCAGGAGTCATCAATCTCTGTAGTTAAAATAAGTCAGGTTTCATATATTTGCATAAGCTGACCTACTGTATTTCTGTGTCATTTTAATTTTTCTAATAAAGATATCAACCACTTCTAGATTTTGATTTCTCTCACCCACAATTCAGAACTAGGATAGCTCTTTAAGTCTGGCCAAGTTTACTAATTTAAGGAAAACAGAAATGCAACTGTTTCCCAGTTTCTGGAGTGTGAGTGAATGTCTATCATTCTATCTTCATCACAATTCATACATAGCATGGTGGAAAGAATAAAAACATCTACCGTACTTTCGGCATATAAAACAACTTTCTAAAGCATTGAAATCAGCGCCGAAGTCGGGGGTCGTCTTATATGCCGAGTTGTCTTATACGCCAGAAATTACGGTAGTTTCCAGCCTATAAGACGATTTTCTAGGCATGCAACTTGGCGTCGAAGTCGGGGGTCGTCTTATACGCCGGGTTGCCTTATACGCCGGAAAATACGGTAATCTAAATTCATGTTAGATAACATTCACTCCTGTGACTTCTGGATAAGCATATAATGCAATCATTTGATGGATAGGAGAAAATATGTGGTGACCATTGTTTAAAAGATGAACTTAGCCTGGAAAAACAAGTAATTGTTAGAAAGAAACTAAAGATTGTCTTGCTCTGATTTGTAACAGAGAGGGAAGGTGAAACACTGTAAGATTCCAAGATTCTGTTATTGTAGCCTACAGTATATCAATACAGGTAGTCCCAGCTTAACAGCCCAAATTGGAACAGGATTTTCTATCAATAAGCAAAGTTGTTAGGCAAAACATCATGCAACCACACTGCATATCAATGGCAGTTCCAGTAGTAGTCTTGGTTGTGCTCAATAGGCCAGAACTCATGCTTCTTCTGCCCTGTTGGGCTGGACTCTGCTTCAACTCCACCAGCCATCTATCTTCCATCCTTTGGGCTGCCTTAAAGTCTGGATACCTCTGCTACCCCAGCTGACTTTTGCTATCTTCCCCCCAATGCCAGTATGTGCCAACCTAGCTGTTCTTGAGGTAGCTGCTAGCTGCACGAGGCCCCGAGAAGACCGTGCGGAGATCTTGCACCCAGCCAGCAGCTGCCTTGGCCAGGTATATCTTGTCAGCAGGAGGAAAAAGACAGCGAAGGTCTGGGAGCAGTGGGGAGTGCCAAGTGGTGGGGGCAGCAGAGGCAGAGGGCAATGGAGTACGGTGGCCAAAAGGGCAGATGGGAGAGGGATAGACAGGAGGTTGATTTAGATTGCAGAACCATCAAACGTTCCCAGTACCTGTACAGGGAAATCGTCCATGGGCAGCAATGTTGGGGCTGCTCGACGCAGCCTCCCTTCCTTCTCCTCTCGCAGATGACGTCGCCGCTTCTTGCTGACGGGGCCTTCGCTAGGGGAGAGGCTCTCTGGCTCTTGGGCAGACAGGCACCTGGGGGCTTCTTTCTCACAGGGCTCATTCCCTGCGTTGCCAGGAGTTGCAACATCTGCACTATGGATCCCTTCATCCTAAATAGAGAAAGCGATGCAACTAGAATCCTCCCACTTTTAACATTTTCCCCCAATGGGAAGCCACACAGTATTTACAATATGTGGGGGGAGGAGGCTCTGGGAGGGGGGGAGAGAGAGACTTGACCTTGCTTTTCTATCCAGTTTGGGGACAGAATCCAATGAAGGTAGCAAAGAAGTCATGCTTGATTCCTCCCTACAAAGGCACTTACAACTTCATGGCATTTGGCTATCAAACTCTTCTATTTTTGCAGAAGAGGAGCTGTTCTGGAACACTACTCATTGGGGGAGGGGCAGCAAGTTTGTTTATTTGTTTATTAAATTTATTTGCTGCCTGCTTCGCCATGGGGCTACTCTAGACAGCTTACAACAATAAAAAGAAAGGAAAAGAATATAAACAGAAGTATGATAGCAGAATAAAATAATGAAAAAGAAGACAATGAGAATACAACAATAGGATGATCAAAAAAAAAAAGATGGATGTATAGAGAGTAGGGAGAAGAAGGTGGAGTCTGCCATCAATCCAGCAGCCACCACGATCCCAGCCAACCAGTAGAGCTAGGTCTTCAGGCTTTTGCGGAAAGATAGGAGGGTGAGTGGAAGGATGATGGGTGACAATTAAAGGGGAGACTTAACCACCTCTAAATCTATTTCCGTTCCCTGCCCTTCCCTGATAGATTTTGCCGGTTCCCCCCAAATAACAGGGAACCTTGTTAAGAGTCTCAGAAGACCTAGCGAGAGGAGGTCCAGGGTGGGCATTCTCTGTAGCAGCTAACCCTCCTTTGGAATAGCTGCCCCCTGCACCCAAGGAAGAATGGTCTCCACGCCTTCCAGAAGCAGGTGAAAACATGGCTTTTCCAGAAGGCTTCCTGGAATTAGTTATAATCAGTGGCGCCATATCAATAATTAACAATGAAACATTATTTCCATTTTCATTTGGAAAATTAGATTATGGATTTTACTATTTTAACTAATTGTATTACTTAGCTTTAAATGGTTTTGTGTTTTGTATACCCTATAAACCAGCTAAATAAACACCTTTTACCACTGCCCTTCCCCAAAACACATGGATCTGTTTGTGAATCAGGAAATTAACACTTAATGTATTTTATTTGTTTGGACACAACCTGTGTACTCCACAATAGTGTTTTGTTATTCTAGTTTATGGTTTACTGTAGCATATTGCAAGGATGTAGCTGCTGTGTCTTTAAATCAGGGCTTTTCAACCAGTGGTATGCGTACCACTTGTGGTACATTAACGAGTGGCAGGTGGTATGCAGCCCTGCCTAGCCAAGTGTAGTGGGGTAGAGAAAGAGCTAGCGCAGGCAATAACTTACAGTGAGAGAGTCCTCTAGAACTGCAGAGTGGCTGAAGCTGAGCCTCACCCCAGGCTCACTTCTGGCTCACCCTCCCCCATGAGAGAGGAGGAGGAGGGGGGGGCAGAGACAGAAGCTATAAAAGGAGACAATTTGGATGGGAGAGGGGAAAAAAAGAAGCAGCCTCAGGAGGTGGAGTCAGCTCTAGCTGCACTGAAGGGGAAGGGTGGGGGGGAGAGGAGAGGAGATCAAGGAGTCCAAGCAGGCCGGCCATGAGCAGATCTACAACTTCTGTGGCAGCCACCTGTGCTGGCAGCAACAGGCAAGAAATGCAGCAGGGGAGGGGTCGCCCTACAGGAGGAATGAAGAAAGGTAGCATCAGCTGGAGGTAAGACACAGAGGGAGGGAATGGAGAGTGGAAGGATTCTTTTGTGCTTTTGTGACTTTGAAGTTCTGGGATTTGTGCAATGTGGGCTTTGTGTTCTTAAGCAATGTTTGGCAATTTCTATTTGACTGATGGCTGATGTCTCCTGTTAGCTTCTATTGTTCTGCTATTGTTAGCTGTAAGTTTTGCTGCAAGGGATTTTGAAGTATTTTTCTCTTGAATAGATTTTGCCTGTAGCATTCCTTTACTTATGAATGGAGCCATTTGGGGAGGCTGTCTTAGCCGGCAGTCAATACTTACTACATTACTCATTAACTTTCTTTTCTAGCCAGCAGCTAATTCTTAAAGGGGAATGTGCCTTTTTAAGCTATTTCCCTCAGCAGCTTGTCTTTTCTGTCTCTGGAGGCTTTTCCTTGTTTGATGAATATATGGAAGAGGGAAAATATGGGGGGGAGGTTTCAAATTCTTCCTTCAGAAGGAGGTGGGCATGAGAAAGAGGGAGGCAGGGAAGGAGGGAGGGAGGGAAGGAAGGAAGTCCCGCCTTAGCACTTGGCCACTAGCAGCCCTGCCATTGACTTTGCTTGTCAAAAGGTTGCAAAAAGGGATTATATGACCCTGGAACACTATAATCATCATAAATGTGAATCAGTTGCCAAGCATCCAAATATAAATCACATGACCTTGGGCATGCTGCAATGGTCATAAGTGTGAAAAATGGTCAAAGTCATTTCAGTGCAATTGTAACTTTGAACAGGTTTTTTTTTGGGGGGGGGTGTCATCAAGTTTTTGACACCTTGCTAGGTGGTACTCGAATATTGCCATAGCCTAAAAGTGGTATAGTCAGTGAAAAGGTTGAAAAGCCCTGTTTTAAATGACCCAGTTATACCTATAGCCTAAATTAGCAATCATTAAATTAAGTCATATTTATATTTATTTAAGAAATGTATAGGACCATCTATCTTATATACAACAATGCTTGGAAGCTCACAATAAACAACCAGTAAAAACAGAGATAAAACAACAGTTCCACACTTTACAAGGGAAAACATCACACTTCCCAACCCAGCACTACATTATCATCATATCGGTTCCACATTTGCTGGGCTCACTCCCCTCCTAGCCCAATACTTGTGGAAAGAGCTAGGACTTTACAGCCTTCCAGAAGGCTAAGAGGAAAGGGTCCCTCCAGATCTCAATGAAATAAATAGAAATGTTAGCATGTATGATAATATTCTTTCCTGGAGACAAATCAAGCATTAACATGGCTCTTGACTCTTGCTGACTTTTCCATAGTCCTAGAATTAAGAAACTGGAAAAAAGGAGCAAGTGTCAGGGGCACATAGACACTCTGCTTAGCTCATCCACATTGTAATTACATGTCTTAGCTGCATTCACATATCACATGCATCGCTACTGCATAAGACACAACCAAATGCACACGTTATGCTAAGGCTTAAACCATCATTTAGAAATAATATGTATGAATTCATACAACACCCAAACAAGCAAACAATCTTAAGGATGAGAGCAATGTGTAAACCCGGCATTATCTAAAGCTCTTTCTTACCTCCAAGACAATATCAAGGTGGCTTTGTCTGTAATCGTCCCCATAGGAATCCAAAACTCTCATTAGAAACCTCAGAAGTAGAAGAAAGACATTCTTTTAAACCAACTCTTTTGTATAACTGTGCTCTTTTCTAACCAGGAGTCCTGACTCACAAAATGAAAAATGGGGTGAAAACAGATTGTTTTAGATGAAAAGTTAAAATTTATCTCTTTGGTATAAACATGCAGCCTTTTTGTTCAGAAGCAGTGTTATCATTAAATCCTGATGAAGTACAATTTCCAGAAGACCTAACCAGTACAGGTTATTGTTGCTGTCCTGGGAAGGGCAGCTCAGCAAATTCTGAAAAGTCACAAGTTCCCCTTCCAAAATTAAATATCCTCTGGGTCCAATGCAGCTAGTTTTTTAAATGGTAGCACTGCACAAAGGGGAATATACATAACACTTTGCACCTACTGTATCTTCTGACTCACCTCCTTTCCTGTTTGAGACGCAGTGTTATTCTCTGGACCTGATGGAGCCGATTTAACATTCTTTCATTCACCTACAATGGGGATCAATATTAGCTGGACATCTTTTTTCCATTTACTCAACAATTCCCTCCTCTTCCACCTCAATCTTCACTTAACAGTTGTGTTACTTAAATTTTTCACTGTAGCTCTGTGTAGTATCCACATAGTTCTTTTTCCTGAACACCTATGCTATTGTAAACAGCATGCTGGATTGAGGCCAGAAAGACTTAGGTTCAACCCTTCATCCAACCTTATATAGTAAGAGACCTCTCCCACCCTCTCTCTCAAGTCTATTTATTTCACGAGATTGTTGTTAAAAACATTGCTAATAAACAGGGGAAAACATATTCACTCCAGTCATGTACCTGTTCTAACTCCTTGCAACGTTGGGCAAGCACTTGACACTTGCGTCGAGTCATCTCCTGTTGCCGCAACATATCCTCCTCTTCCTCTTCTTCTGGTATCCCGCCATCAGCAAATTCCACCTCAGTCTCTAACTCACTTTCTAGGATATTTCCACCAAAAAGAGGGGGCAATGCCAGCTCTGAGCCAGGAGGCACTGAAAATTCTTCAAAACTCACAGCAGCCATGACCCTGTTCTAAACATTTTAAGAGAAAGCAATAAATATAAAATAACCACAGTTATATCAACTTGATCACAGTAAAATAATCCAGGGATTCACTTGAAAAACATTACATCTTTCCAAACATTTGAGCTAATCACTCTGTCAGATTAACCTACCATATAGGGTTGTTGTTTTGTGTGTATGTGTGGGGGGGAAATAGAAGAGAAAGAGAGAAAGGAAGAAAGAAAGAAAATATAGATCTATGAAATAAAGAGGTAAATCCAATACTTAAAATAGAATACAGATGATTTATAGTCACCTCTATTGATATATTTAGAGTATGTAATAATTCTGTTGATATTTTTGTGAAAATAAGTCCTGCTTAATTAAATATAACCTGTTTTAGATCATATAAGATTGCATGTTTTCCCTTTGGTTACTACAGGGTAGTCCTTGACTTACAATCATTCATTTACCGATAATTCAAAGTTACAGTAGCATTGAAAAAAGTGAATTACAACCAGCCCTTGCACTTGCAACTGTCACTGCATCCCCAAAGTCACATGATCAAAATATGATTGCTTGGCAACTGGCATATATTTACCATGGTTGCAGCATCCTGAGATCATCTGTTTGTCATCTGCAACTTTCCTGGCCAGGTTCTAACAAGCAAAGTCAATGGGGAAGCTGGATTTGCTTAATGACGTGATTCACTTAACAACTACAGTAATTTGCTTAACAATAAAGACAAAAAAGGTCGTAAAATCAGTTGTGACTCACTTAGCAACAGGAATTCTGGTCCCAAGTCAAGAACTACTTGTAAGTTGAAAACAAATGCAGAGAATATAACTTAAGGAAACCACTTCCAAACTGTTGCCCTTCGCGTTTAGTGCATTTGGAAATTGCCAGGTAATCACCATACTTGTTAGGAAAACGGAAAATGCAACCTCAACACAGAGTACCAAGCTGAATTATACTTGGTTTGAATTACAGTATCACAAGATAAGTAACAATTATTTTAGTGAACTGACTAGGAGGGCTTTTAATTCAAGTCAGAAAGAGGCATCCGTTAACGCTTCTATAAAGAGGCGAAGCTCCACTTTTTGAGAGTGACGGGGCATTGTAAGACCCAACACCAGTAAACAGCGTCAGGCTGCAAAATGCCAATTTCCCAAAATGAGATTTTTCCGATATCAAACCTACCTCAGTCTCTACGCTATTCCTACCTTTTTCAATGAGACCATGAAAAATACAGGGACGATCTGACGCCGATTGATGACGTATTCAAGCAGCTAACAAAAGCGCTGTAGCAACAAAGAAGTTTCGAGCCCGCGGTTTAATTGGAGGAAGGGAGGCGTCGCATTCCGATGATCTCTGAGCATAAATTGACCCGACCCTGACAGAAGAGTCTGTCGCATTACATTTACATAAACGGAACATTTTCTCGATCTTGTTCCATGAATGGAGAGAAGGCCGCACAAAAAGAGATGATGATGTAACCATAGGTTCCGGAAGTCCGTAGTCATAGAGTAGGCATTGTAGAAGCCGACCCATCGTTCGAAACGGAACGTTTCTGCAATTACTGTATTTCCAGGCGTCCATAGAGTTAAGAGGGCAAGACAAGCCCTTTGCTCATCGGCGTTACGCCACGCAAATGGCGTCCAAACCGGAATCGGAAGTAATATGCCTTAGGCTACTTCTTTCTTCAGTTCTTAGTTTCGCTTTTGGGGCTTCCATGATGAACGTAGGAGCGACGTGCTTTGTTGCGTGAAGGCTTTAACGGGGGACTGAGAAGAAGCCGGAGCGTCGTTGTGAAGTGAAAAGGAAGCCGGTGAGGAGGAATAGAAATCCTTAATAAGTGGAGGAGACTGGACTGGGGTTAATGCCTGTTTAATCTCCAGACTAATTGAAACGCTAATTCTCCCCCCGATCCGCCTAACAACCGTCTGAGGTAAGCTAGGAGGGGGCCGCTTGGGGCTCAGCTGGTTTGGCGAACCCTATGGCCCATTGAGAGATCCTAACTGGCTCTCCCCAGTGTTTTCGCAGCTGCTGTGCCTAGCCTCTCGATCGTATTTTAGTACTTGGCTACTGTAACCATACGCCTTATAAAAACGGTCTGTTATTTCAGAAAACTGCCCTTTAGATTTAATTGTTTTTCTTGGTTTTGCTCTTCAATTTTCCTTTGTAAAGCAGAGTTTAAAACAATTGTTTTTAGCTTTATGATTTCACAGTTTTATTAATTTATAATATAAAATGCAAAAGCAAATAGGAAAAATAAGGGAGGAAGGAGACGTGTAGAAAAGAAGGGAGAAAAGAAAAAAAAGACATTGACTTTCGACTCCCTCTGGTGCAGTAGAATAAAACAATAACATCAAACCTCAGCTTTTTACTTTAACATAATAGTATAAACTAGCCATTTCTATAATAACAAATCTTATCTGCTCAGTAAAACCCAAAATCAAAGTATCTTTATGAACTTTTTTCGGATTTGCCTTTTTCAAGTTTGTCCTTCATTTTTTCCAGGAAAATATGGTTATTATAAGTATTATGCCATATTCATAGTGGAGCTCCCTCCCTTCCCCCCCCATTTTCTGATATACCTATAGGAGTTTTTATGGGCTGAGAGAAAGGATAGGTCTTCATACTGTCATGCAGGTGCTGCAAATTAGGAACTTGTATCAGATGCCTTTTATGTAATTGTGACATTTGTACAACATTATGTGTGTCACAATTTTGAGATCGGTATGAATTGTTATATACAGCCTTCTTTTACCTCAACACCATTCTCTCCCTGTCTCAATTTTCTTGCATTGGAGCTGTTACTATTTTTACTCTTCTTTTTTATTAGGTTCTGTATAACAAATGTCACACATTTAATATCACAGTAGAATTTTTTACAACATGCTTCACTTGGCTACTGAAAAAAACTCATTTGGGGGGGGGGTTGCATGCTACATTGACACCAGATATCATGTGCATACAACGCATAACCCACTAGGTTTTCTTTCGAAGATATTTCCTTACCAGATTCCTCAATGCCTTCAAAAATGGCGGAGCTTCTAAAGTGCTATCTTTGGTGGAAAAGTTTTTTTTTAAAATTAAGGGAGATATGCTGAGATGTATCTGCCTTGAAAAAACACATGTTAATTGCATGGTTCAGTCAAACATCACAAGATGACCATGGGAAATATTTTATGACATTTGATATAATGTCATAAAATGTTTTATGATAATTTTTATATCATAAAATGTTTTATAAAATTTGTCAAATTTCAGCTATGGGAGTCATTGGTTCCGGCTTTTGAACACACTCTCTAAGTTAGCCCATTTGAGATAACCTTGATTCAAAAAGTATTGCCCCCCAATGCACCATTTTCCCAAGTTAAAAGTTACACACAGACAAACAGGAAAGTTTTAGTAGTATATTAGACAATCTTTGTATGCGGGGTCATCCTTTCAGGGATATTTCCTTACCAGACTTCAAAAGTGACAGAAGTCCTAATACTGCCTTCACTGGAAAATATAGGATACATTCAGAGAAGTACCGTATCTGCCTTGAAAATAGCCAAATTGAACTGTATAGCACAGTCAAATATCAGCATAGGAAATGTTTTATGAGAGGAAATGTTTTGTGTTATATCATATTCTGCTGTATGATAATTATAAATGTTTTATAATATTTGTTATATTTCAATTCCACAGGAATTTGGGGTCCCAAAGGTGAGAGGGGAAAGCTGGGAAGTTCACATGTTTTTTTAGGAATGATTGTTGGTATGCACCATGGCGTGTTTGGAAGTACTTGAAAGGCTGAGGGATTCTATGATAGAAACTAAGATATTAGAAAGGACGTATTGGGAGGAACTAGTAAGATCTGAAATTTTTTGACTGAAATGGATTCAATAAGAAAGCAATTACAACTGTGGTAAAGAAGAAATTCCTTCAGACAGAATGAAAGAGAAAGGAATTGAAGGGCAGCATCCCAGATTGTTGTGCTTATACAGATTCTAAGATTGTGTATTACTTTCTAGAGAGTTTCATAGATTACAATTATTACATGGTAACTGAGCCTTACTAAGGATTATATTCCTTTACTGGCATCTGGAAATTGAAATCTTACCTTCTGAAGGGTGATTGGTTGCAGAAATATAGGATTGGAACTGTTTAATGAGAGGAAAGATGAATGTAAGGCTGAATCATAATTTAATTACTGTAGGGTTTTTTTTAATTAGCCCTGGTTTGACTGACTTCTCTATTTCAGTTTTATTCTCTTTTCAGCCTTGATCCACCATGTCTCTAGCAGATGAGCTTTTGGCTGACCTTGAAGAGGCAGCGGAGGAAGAAGATGGCAGTTTTGCAGATGAAGAGGATGAGTCTCCCATTGAAGATGTCCATGAAGAGATGCAACTGGATCTGGCAACTGATTCGGTCAAGAGTATTGCCAAGCTGTGGGATAGCAAAATGGTAAGAGAAATAGACATCTTTCATATAGAAGAGGACTCACCAATTTAATATGTTTGTGAAGTCATCTCTATGATCATGCCAATTTGACCAGAGGGAGGTGCAGTCAGAAATAAAATACACCTTAGAAATTAGAAAGATACTAAATGTCCCTTAAATGGCTTTCGGTTAAATAATAAGGTTATATTTCAGAATTGATTTTGGCCTCAACACATGTTCTGTAACCTGCCATTACTGTTTTACACTCTGAAGTTCACGATGGAGGAAAGCATGACCTTAGATCTTTTTATTCCTTTTGTGCAGTTTGCTGAAATTATGTTGAAGATTGAGGAGTACATCAGTAAGCAACCAAAAGCATCTGAAGGTATTGTTTGATTCAAATTTGTCTATGAAGAAACAGCAGTATTGATAATACTTCTCTTAATTTTTTTTTTTTAGCCTATTGAGGTCACATCCTGTTCCTGCATTAAGACAGCTCATTTCCCTTCCGTCAAGAGCTTGGACATGTCTATGAACCCACATCACAGTGAGCTGCACTGCATAGATTTCGACTATCCTCTTTTTTTCTCCCCAGTTCTAGGTCCAGTAGAGGCTGCTCCCGAATACAGAGTCATTGTGGATGCCAATAACCTCACTGTAGAGATTGAGAACGAACTGAGTGAGTGAAAAACCTTGGCTGTTGATTTGGGATAGGGCAAGGAACGCACTGTGTTATATAGTGATGCATCTGTACCGATGTCAATACAATGGATTTCTGGGAAAGGAATATGAATTAACAGTGTAGAAGTATGAAGTACAAGGATATATAAGTGGGCTAATTGTTATGCCATGAAATGTATGGCAGTTCAAAAGCTGTTTTAGGAAATGTTCCTCTTTCAACAACAAAAAATTAAGTCTGGACTATTTCTAGAGAATTTTTTTGATTTAGCAGTATTAAAATAAACTAGGGCAGAATACTTTTGATGGCTGGCTTTAAAAACCAAAAAAGACTCGCTGAGATTCTCTGAGCGATTTCCTTTGCAAGTAATCCTCAACTTACAACCACAATTGATCCCACAATTTCCATTGCGAAGCCAAATAGTTAAGTACGTTTTGCTCCATTTCATGACCTTTCTTGCCACATTTGTTAAGTGAATCATTGTAGCTGTTAAGTCAGTAACCTGGTTGTTAAGTGAATCTGGCTTCCCCATTGCTGGTCAGAGGGTTGCAAAGGTTGATCATGCCCGTTGGCTAAGCATCCAAATTTTGATCATGGGGATGCTGCAATGGTTGCAAATGTGAAAAGGCGTCTTAAATCACTTTTTAGTCACTAAATGAATGGTTGTAACTCGAGGACTATCTGTATTGTTTCTCACCTATTAACAGAAATCTTGCCAAACTAAAGCAGACTGTGCATCATAAAATGTGCACTCTGGGAACTGTTAAGGAGGAACCATCTTCGCCCTCTTTCTCTCACACAAACTTTCTAAACTGCAAAGTCTCTTGCTCCTCTGAAATGCCCTCCCTCCCTCCTGGGAATTCGGAAAACATTCCATCACACCTCCCTACCTGGCAAGTGCCAGATGTACTGGATCAGAACATTATTACCATCCTGCCTTGGAATTACAGAGCTTGAAGCCTAATCCATCGATAGATTATTAAATTGAGGAAACCTGTTCCACGCTTCCAATCACCTCAATGCTTTATGGATTGCTGTCTTTTGTCTCTAGATATTATACATAAGTTTATCCGAGACAAAT